ATCCGATTTACATATTCATCTCCATAAGACAAAGTAGAAACTCACAAATTCCTAGCAAAAGAAAACACACGTCTCACCCATAGCCCTTCTATCAACAAAAGTAAAATTATTGCCAACTTCCATAGACGTTTCTGATCTAAACTCGCCAACCGATACATACAAGCTACACTCATTGACCCATTGGCGCATTCAATTTTCAAACAAAGCCACTAAGCTCGATGGCTAAGTATTTGGATAAAGTTGATTTAAGAAAATTACATCAACATATTGTCAAGTTCACTTCAAGTGAACTCTTGCATGTTCATTTAAGAAAATAATATCCATAACATACCATCTCAACTCAATCAAGCGATTACCATTGTATGGTTCAATTATATAAATGCGACAATAACGTACCATACTAAACGTCCGTGCTTAATTCACATATATAAAAGACTTAGATTCTTAACCTAAAGAGCTCAATCACGAAGCTACCAATGTAAAATCAATCACAAACTCCAAAGAATATCACACAAAACCAGATTAAACCATTAGAAGGAATCAATTTACACGATAAAAACCCTAATGAGAAGTTAGATAAGAACCTGTAGCTTTTGGAGGGGCAAGAAGGGGGAAGATATGAGAGGGGACCTCAGAGCGTCTGAACCGTCGATTGATGATTCAGTAGAGGGCGGAGGAGGAGGAGGAGCCTCCGTCGACATGATTCGGGCGTCGAAGTTGCAGCTCAACGAGATGAATGATGAAGATGATCGCCGATCGAATCGAACCCGAAGGAGTTGAGGTGAGCTTGGTTGGGACTTGGGCTGGGCTCCGGTGCGTGGATCCTCTTTATTAGGCCCGTATTGGCCATTAAGCATTATTTCGAACGTAGGTTGGCATGTTTGCTATATCCACTTCCAAAACAGTAACCTTGGGAGTTGGATTGCCGAAAATGCCCTTTTGGACTTGGGCTCCGGTGCGTGGATCCTCTTTATTAGCCCCAAAACAATTCTTTTTTAAAATCGACTCACTCTAATTTTATTTTCAAAAATCAACCCAGTATTTGGCTACATCAGCATCGTAGCTAGAAACTAGGTCGATTTAAAAAAAACCACTTCCTAATTAGTCAAGGTTGGCAACCCCGATTAATTAGGACTGTTTGCGTCGAAAGTTGTTTTATTTGTCGAATCTATTACACGTTTATCGATTACAATAAATTCAAAAGAGTTAGTCTTTTTATAAGACTACACGCTTACACAAATAAAATAAAAATTACAACTCTCTTTAAACACACGCAGAGGACGTTTATCACCCGCTGCTTGCGTGTGATCTTTGCCTGTGTCGGGGACGCGTTAGTCCGTGGACTACCGCGGATCAGATCCGGTTGACAAAATGAAAATTCAATGCTCTTACTTCACAAAGGAAGTATTCGCAGAAGTAAATAATCTCGACCAAGAGAGATTACTACTCTTCTCGAGATCAAAACCAAGTTTGATCTGGAGGAAAGGTAGAACGGGCTTTAGATCTCTCGAAATCCACTCTTTATGCACAGGAATTCGCCAAGATCTCGCTAGCCTCTCTCAAATTCGTCAGAACCTCGCCCTAGCTCCTCTAAAATTTGTGGTTCCCTTCCGATCTACCTTTATGAGGGTGCTAGAGGTGTATTTATAGATTTTAAATGCCGTGTTTGTGGATAGGATCGAAGAACAACCGTTATTATCCGTTTAGGTGGGTTTTCGGTTGTGTAACAGCTTCCATACGTTTAAGGATAACCTCACATATTTATGGATGACCCCAAGGAGTTTTAGAAGATAATCTTATCAGAAAACACGTCGGGAGCTGACCTAGGCGCGAGTCACTTCGAAATGACTCGGAATTTCCGAGTCACTTTGAGGTGACTCGGATTTTCCGAGACAGTTTGTACTATCTTTGGTATTTTGGGTTTAATTCTCTCGTCTGACCTTAGAATGAAGTGATTTAAGATGCGTTGGAAATATGACGAAGAGAGATACAACTTTTATCTTTGAGATTTTTTGGATTTAAATCTCATCATGATTAAAATTTTACTTTTTCGTGCGGGTCACTCTAGAATCCTCCTGATTGTATTTGCTTCATCATTTCACACATTGACGTTTCACGTGCGTTCCTTCGCTTATTTTTACAGTATCGAATGATCCTATTTGACTTGGATAATCCTCTCTAATTCGAATAATAGCATTCATCACATTCTTTCTATTTCAAACTACGTGCGAGAACTTATAGGCAATTTTTTACGCCTATAAGGCCGACCCCAGCGCACGATGCGTGGTTAGGGGACTAAACAAGTCGGGATTGCGAACCTCGACTAATTTCATCATCGCACAAAATGGTCGGGGTTGGGGACCCCGACCATTTTGAAGCATAAGTCGAAATGGCCGGGGTTCCCAACCCGGAACCCCGACCATTTAGCAGAGACTCCTCAACCGCAAGGGACCCCAAGTCAAAATGGTCGGGGTTCCCAACCCCGACCATTTAGTAGAGAATCCCTAACTCAAAAAACCTAAAAATTAGGAGGCGGTTAAGTCATGAAATAGTCGGGGTTGCCAACGCCGACTATTTAGCAGAGATTCTCAAAACCGAAAATTAGGAAGCATCTAAGTCATGAAATAGTCGTGGTTTCCAACTCCGACTATTTGTGGTGACCCCTCCCGCTTATATATACGGACTGAACCCCTTCCTCTCCCAAAATCCTAATTTTTCTCTCTCTCCAACTCCGGTCTCTCTCGTTCAGTTGCCTGCCCGCTTCTCCCAACCCCATTTTGTGGCCGAAATTCATCGTGAAAGTTTGCTTAAGATCTCTGGGGTAATTTCTCTTCATTCTCTCCTCTTTTAACATGTAAAAATCTAAAGTTTTTCTGTTATCTTCAACATTCAAATATAAGGTTTTCCATCAAAATCTAATTTCTAGGGTTTAAAATTTATTATCAATCACTATCTTTTTGGTGGTTCGAATGCTTTGTGTGTTGATTGTTATAATTGAAATTAAACTTCTAGGGCATAGAATGCTCATTTCTAGGGTTTAGGGTTTTTATTTTGGGATTTAGGGTTTTTAATCAAAATTTTACGAGATTATTTGCATCTTGGGTTTTCCTCTCTTATTCAATGCTCTGATAAACTTTTTTTTAGCATTCACAATATATAATCTTCTTTTGCATAGGTTGAACAAATATAATTTTTATTGCTTGCTCTTGTGGTGAAAAAATTAATTATGGAATGAATAATATGCCAATATACGTCGGAGGGGTAATGTAGGCTGTCTAAAAATTACTACAGATAGCTTATCCCTATCAAACATCGATGATGAAAGTTACAATCTGACGACTTTCAGAAGGTTACAATTTGAAGACTTTCACATATATCGATGAAGGTGACAATCTGACGACCTTCACAACAACTGATGAAAGCTCTAATCAACAACCTTCATAATCAACATCGGGAGTTACAATCTGACGACTCTCACATATCAAAGAGTTAAAGCAAAGATTACAAAACGATAATCTTTGCAACGCTCTGACAAAAAGAGACTACAAATCGACGGTCTCTTCAAGCCAAGACGTGGAAGTCCTCCTCGCGTACCATCATCAAGACGCAACACCAATTCGACCGTGGACGCAGGTCAAACCTGGCTGCAAACGCAGCTCACATTCAGTTCCAGACACTGCAAACGCAGCTCAGATCCAGCTGCCAACGCAGCTCATGTTCGGCCGTAAACGCAGCCTCCGAAAGCTACCAACGCAGCTTTTATCCGTTGCCAAATGCAGCTTCCAACAAATAGCCAAATGAGCTTTCAGCCACTGCGTCGAGCTTTCAGACACTGCATTCAAGCTTCCAGACACCGCGTTTGAACACAGAATTCACATCAGAACACGGATTTTGCGTTTGACTCATTCAAACACGAGCTGAATGGTTTTAAAACTGTTTCCCACGATCTGAGGGGATCACAACTCCACTTAGAAGTGATTTAAGGAGAGGTTATATCCCATTAGCCCCACTTAGGAGCAAATTAAAGGAGCGGTTACACCTCTTAATCCCTTATAAATAACTAAGAAATCAGCTTAGTTCGGATCCTGGATCTTTCATCCTTCTTTTTGGCAGCAAAGAAGAGATCTTGGGGGGGAATTGCTGGAGCTTTGGAGATCAGCAACAGGAGCTTTCTTCATCCTTGGCTTATAGACCGATTTCGGTTAAATCAACTCTTTTATAGAGTTTCAAACTCGTTCAGAGTTCTAAAACTTACCACACAAGTTCTTCACAACATCAAATCGTGAGAAGAAGACCACGTTCCAGTGAATCAAGACGTTCGGATCGTCAACGAGAAGCAAACTCGACACGAACACTCGAGGGAAGCATCTCATCACCACCGTGAAGAACCCAGAATTAAACAAAGGGGAGAATCCAGATCAATTATCCTCTCTTTTGTAATCAGAAAATCCAATTGTAATTAAGATTAAAGGAATACAAATCAAATTTCTTTCATTCTTTTTACTATAAATTTTCCACCAAACAGGTAACGACGCCGTTTATGATCTCGGAATCATATAGTTATTGTGACTTGATTAAGGAATTACACATAGTTACAGAAATTGACCCACGAAAGTACCGACTAAAAATAATATGCAATTGGCCCATAATTTTTGATAGAACATCCGCGGTTGAGATCTTAAACGATCATCGTATGAGTATTATGTTTAATTTGAGCAAGTCGCATCCAACGGTAGAATTATTTATTGAAAAGTTTCCATATAGTTTGTGCAAAATATTCAAACCTCTAGGAGAATTCTCAAGCATGTTAGATTTGGGAGTTGAGTCTGACGGTTTTTTTTCTTCTTTAAGTGAAATAGAGCAGACTCAATTTCAATATATAAATGCAATTTTATTTGGGGAAACATCAAATGTCATGAACAATGAAGTCCCTTATGAAAATATGAGGCCGTTAAGAGGGACAACAATTGAAGAGGATGAAAGAAACATCGACTATGAAGGTGAGGAGCAAAATAACACACCAATTGATTACATGCAATTTGTGACTGAAGATGTTAAAGAGAATCTAGATTGGCCTTATAAGGCTTATGTTAATAATGAATATGTTGAGTATGAAGAACCACCCCCCGACGAGTTTGAAGAGGATGAGTGGATTCGTTCTTCCACGGTACAAGATATGCGCATTGGCTAAAGTTTAACTTATAAAAGAGATGATGACTTCACTTTCAAAGTTAGAGATTTATTCGAGACTAAGGACCATTGTATGTGTAAAAATTTGATCTCCCGTTTAAGGGGTCGTTTGTATTTATAAGAATGGCTTATTACAAACTAAGAATCAAACGTTTACAAACAGAAGAGAAGGGAATGGCCCTTCTTTTTTAACGTGGGTTCTTTGGCAACGGTAGAACGTCTCCCTTGGTGCTTGTACCGGGTTTGCTTCCCTTGGACGATCTGATCAAAATTACGGTTAAGGCTTCAGTACGCTGTAGAAGCCTTAACTGTAACCGAGTTTGAGCCTACCCGAATTTGGAAGTTCATCAAGACTGAATGCTTAGAATGAGCTACGATGCAAGACTTTGCGAAGAGCTTAAGAGCCTCAAATCTGAAAGTTCAGATGAGTCTACTTCAACAATCCAAGCAAAGAGCTAGGAATGTTCTCCCAAGCAAGTCAAGTGAAAGCCTCTGGTAGAAGAGTCTTGGGAATAAAAATATATCAAGCCCTTGGAAATATTGCCAGCCTCTTGAACGTTGGCCAAGAAGGCTTATAAATAGGCAAGGAATGACATGGGTCATCCATTGACTTGTGGGATGTGACCACCTATG